ACCTGAGAGAAAATTTCAGCTTCCAAGGAGACGAGTATGCATTTTAATAGACTACAACCTGCAGGGTTTTGGAGTGTTTGGGGTTTAAGGCCTTTAAAGCCGGAGCAACGGAGGTTATATTAGTGGTTAATTAACTCTGTTTACTTAATGAGTGAACTGGGTCGATGCCAAGTCCAGGCTGATTTGCAGGTCTGTGGGAGTCACAAGCCACAATTAATAAAATGGATATAAATCTGTTCCATGAGGATTATCACACAAGTACTGCACAGTAACTGCACCAGAGAATGTGCTGCTGTTTCTATTGAACTTTGAAAACACTCTCTCACACACACACACACACATCTTATAACACATCCAAGGACGTTCATTTTCAGCTCATTTGGGAATAAGACATGATTCCAGGATGAAACACCTCAGGCAGAGATGATGTTAGAGCCTGAAGGTACTTTGCCGTCAGTTAATTCAGGTTAGCTGACTCTAAGATATGTATTTATCGCATTTTTTATATATACTGTACCTTTCAGTCTTTCTAAATGTTTGACTAAATACTGAGTCACCTTTTAACGAGTGATCATTTTAAAACTTGATAAATGGTTAAATAACATGCTACATTATAGGTTATATTGGATATAACTTTAACATGAGTAGTAATCATAATAATGATCTGCCGCCTGTATTGTGACCAATGCATGTGTGAAATTTGTGACTTTGTGACTCCCTGAGCCAATAGGTGACAACATGAGCCTGATGAACCCTGGCAATTTTGCAGAGTCATGTTCCAAGATGACTGACTGCTCCAGCATTGGAAAAGTCATCTGACATCAGTTTTTGGCACTTAATGTTTGGCAAGACTAGACATTCCCAACTGAGAAAACTGAAGATGATAGATCACCATTATCCTGGCAAGATGTTACAGCAGCATGGAAAATGTATTTTTGATATTAAATTCACCCATTTTAACAACAGTGTAGTCGTATGGAATGACAGGTTATAAAATCCAAAACTTTGCAGTTTTCATAAAATAACTTAGATGTAACCTGAAAACATACTGACCATCAATTATTAGCATTACTTCCAAATAAGGTATAAACATAAATAAGTAATGTTTGGTTTGCTCTGTACACCAAAACATTTTTTACACTGTGATCTCCACAAGATCAAATTTCCTCCTAATGCACCGTAAAATAGAAGAGAACAAAATCCATTAAAAATAATAATAAAAAAGAAACAGAAGCTGAAGATAAAAGGGCTTTTTTTATCACTGCAGCAACTGTGAAATACAGAGATTTCCCATATGATTTCACACAAATTTTAACTTCAATTGAAAACTGCAATACATTTTATCATCATTCAGTTAAATCATTTGAACCAGTGCATAATTACACAAAGGAGATTTATCTTTAGAGATGGTCCAGCAGAGCTCACACTGTGTGCCTATGCTGGAGATGATTTGCTTTAGTATATACAATACAGGTAACCTCATATGTGTGGAATAGAAAAGAACAAATTCTGTAAGCAGGAGTTTGGGGAAACAACCATACTACATACTCCCTCATCTTTACTCTTTACCTGCCTAACTCTTATTTACACACATTTGTACCATCTTGCTTTTACTGACTTTAATTTCTCTTGTCTTTGAGACCATAACAAATAAGAGACAAACAATGCATCTTTGTACTTAGCTATAAAAAATAATGTCTGGAAATTAATTAATTAACTGAAAATTAGCCTCTGCTTGTTGATAAGAACACTTACCATTTTAGGGCTCCTTTTTGTAGTGTTTTGTTATTTATTTAAACTCAATTTAAACAGTTTAACAGGTGATGACAGTGACAAGGACAAAGATTTCCAAACAATGCAGGATTGCTTTTAGATAACACAAAAGGTCTTTTAGGTAACATAAACATAATTCAATTATGTTTATGTTTTTCTTAGATTTAAATCGAAATCTCAATAATAATTCCAAATCAAATAAAAAAAAAACAACATGAATACAGTATATCATAAAATAAATTTTAAATCCTGTATTTCAATTTTTTTCTTGTAACCTGAATGCATCATAGTGTTGAGGTAGTCTACACATTGACATGACTGTCAAACGAGAAACCAATTGCTGTAGCCACTGTAACAATCGAGACCAATCAGTATAGTATAACAATTTCATTGTCCAATCAGATTTTTTTAAAGGGCGGGATCTACATTTGTCGTTTCCCCGCGGCTGAGAATGCATTGATGAATGGAGCTTGTCTGTGAGCTAGCGGTAACATAAGCGTAAAGTGTAGCCATATTATGCAAACATGAAAAAGTACGGGTTATATAGTAAATTGAGTATTTGGCCGATTTAAAAGTGTGTCATTGCTCTTATATGTACGTTTGCACACAAATCATACATTAAAAAACTCTGGCTGTCCAGGTAAGCGTGCTAACAAACATGCAAACATGTTAGCATGCAAGATGAGGAAGTGTCGCAGAGTTGGCTGCATGACTGAAGATGTCAACAAAACGAACCGTTAGGTGATATCGGTGAAGGTAAGTAATGTTACTGTACATAGCTAACCAGACTCATACATTTATTCAACTGATGCATTCTGTGTTTACTAGCATAACTAAGAAATGGCTTCGCTATTTTCCGTTAGCTGACTGTGCTCTGTTTAGCTACAGCTAGAAATCGGACGGTGCTTGTCTCATTTCTTTATGCTCAAAATGTCCCCAAACACACGAAACATAATTATGTTTTATACAAGAAGCTCCGTAGTATGTACAGTTTTAATGTCGACCATCGTAAGATGCAGCAAATGAAGGAAGCAAATGATCAAACATTGCCCATAATACAATTTTTATTTAAAATAAACGTTCAATTTATCACCTGAACATGTACAATCAGCACGCCCTACTGTCATTATCTGAAGTAATGTTTGATAAATCAAAGTAATCGTAAAGGACATTAGATATGAACTGTTAAATTGTTTTCAACGGGACGTCAAATTATTATTTTGTTTCTTTTTGAGTGGGCTCATCTATAAGCCTCGGTACATAATAATAACAATAAAAAACACAAACAAACATCTGATTTTAAAATGAAGAAACCCACATACGTCTTTCACAGGAGAACAGGATTACAATGGCATGTTTCGCAGCTCCAACGCAGGTGATTTGTCGAGAAGTGGTGCAAGATTCGAGCACCATTCAATGCGTGATTTTTTGCAACTTGAAAATTGGCAAGTAAAGAGATTGAACTGCTTTGTGTAAAGAGAGTTGCAATTATCACCTCTCCACTTACATGGTCTAGACGACAAAACGCATCACCTGTAATCAGGCTCC